TGCAAGTCCTTCTAGCTCTTCCGTGTGGGACGCCACCAGAGCAGGGTTGGATGAGCAGTGTGTAGGTCCAGGCCCTGGATCCGAACTGGCAAACTCTGGGTCACTGAAGCAGAGCATGCAAACCCAACCACTATGCCACCAGGCTGGCTCCTGAAATGGTTTTATCTTTACTTTCTATACCTTTGCAAAGTCCTTCCAGTTCTGGTTTCACATTCTCTTGTTATCTGCGCGTCACCGCCTATTGTCTGTCCATCTTTACTGAGAGTTACAATATTTTGGTATTGGGCATGGCTTCTCCACTTCAGTAAGTTTTCAAGCACACGTCCAAATGTTATATTACAGGTTTTCTCTGCTTAGTGAGGTTTCTTCACCTACAATGCAGTTTCTCCCTGCTTATACAGTAAGATCTTTAGGTGGATGTAGTAGTTTTACCTTTTGGTTAATCATATTTGAAACACTTGGATTTTCTTGGACCAGATGTTAGCAGGGAAGATTGCTCTGGAGCACAAGGGGCAAAATCAGCTCTCTGCTTCTTGGCTTGAAGTTTCCTTATAGTGATCAACAGTTTAAGTTGGCTCATCTAATGGTCAGTCTTCCTCAGAGTCTCAAATATTACGCTGGTTCGGGGGTTCTGATCACCAGTCACTTTTTTTCTCACTTTGCCACAAGAGGATACTGCCCTTGTCTTTTGGGTGAGCCATCCCCTCTTTTACTAGCCAGGTTTTCTTAAATCTGACACTTTCATACACTCTGCATGACTTCTCTCTCTATCTCCCTCAGCACACGTGCCCTCTCCTGCTTGTTTTAAGTCCTGTCCATACTGTTCCTACTCAGAGTGGAGCTCTCTCTCTGAGGATGAGTATTTGCTGCTGATTTCTGAGACTGTCATTGCAAGGAGCCCCCTGCACCTTTCCATTCTTTCCCTCCTCACCAGTGTAGCTTTACACTTCAGTTATACTGGTGTTGGGCATTTTTCACCACAAATCAACGTTAGAGTTTGTAGGGTTTTGCTTTCTGCCAATTTTGCTAAAAATGTTATTTCATTCTCCTTGTTGCTATGTAGGAGTTTTCCTCATTCTCTTTGTTGCTATGTATGATTTTAAGGAGAATAAATGGGACCCTTTTGAATTGGGCTGCAGTCATATTCCTACTGGAACCAATTGCTATATTCTTAACTGAATAACAAAGTGTCAACTTAGGCCAGCTTTGATCCAAAGTGTGATCTGGCTAAATAAAATGAACTATAACCAGCCTCCCTAGCCCAGTTGATAATAAAATACTAAGTTATGCAAATAATAAAGATGACACTAAAATTTAAAAGATCCAAATAATTACTGAAAAAATGAAGGGATAGAGCAAATACTAGGGTTGAGAGAATTCTGGATAATGTAAATAAAAGATATTTTAAAATGTATATTAGAATAACTTTTTAAAAATAACTTTAATCTTCAACTTGTCATTTTGACTGTTTCTACTATTTCTGCCACCTTACAATTGTATATATAAAATATATTCAAAGATTATTGTAATATATACTCCATAATTAGTTACATTTTACAGAAGAGGTGTGTAGAAGATGACTTTCTCAAAGTTAGTAATAGTACCAGCAAGTGAAGTAGAACTTGCACCTTGTCATTTCCTTGATAGCTATCTTATTCTTCTAGTCCTTCTAAGATTCCTAAAATCACTGTTTGTTTTCATTCTATTTCCAGAATTATTTCTGGATTTCTTTCAAACATAGAGGCTTTTAACAGTTTCAAGAGCATAAGACAAAATATGATTTAACAAATGAAAAAGTAACAAAATTTAATACATTTGATGATTGTTACTGTAACCAAGTTCCTAATATAATGAATCCCAAAATCACAAGTGGCCAAATCTCAGTGGCTTACTATAGGAAACATTTGTTGTTCACATCACATTTTCACAGGTCCAGGTGATCTTTGGCTCTGCTCCAGGGCCTTTTTCATTTCAGGAGCCAGACCAGAAGAGCAGGGACGTGCCTCTTGTGATAGAGAACAGAAGCAAGATTGCAACCAAACCATACAGTTACATTCAAGGCTTCTGCTTGGATATGACATACGTATCTGCTCATTTTATATTAGCTAAGGAAATCACACGGCATCAACCAATGTCAAAGGGGCAGAGAAGGAGACTCTCTGACAGAGAGAAGAGAGTGACTGTGAACAATAACATAATTCATTTCAGTAATTCACATTTTCCATCTGCTAATATATCAACCAAAGAGCTTAAATTTTTTAATAGTCCTTTCCTATGACGTGCTACCTGGTACCTACTAGTAATACCAAACCTTTGGTCATGAAGCACTATAGGAGAAGTAACCTCGTCTCCCCCACTGTTCTACCTAGCTGCTGTCCACCTCTTGAATCATCTTCTGCCTTCCTAGTGAGAAATGAGACCACCTATGTCAATACACCTCAACCAATGCGACTGAGAACTGGGATCACCTGGGCCAACAACTCTCAACTATTACAGGAAATTCTTGTCCAGGAAGACAAAGCTATAAATGAATAAAGAACCATTTGCTTCAGGAAATTCTTGCAAGCCAATTTTTCCAGGCAAATCTGTAACACTCTGATTTACAAATCTGGACAGTTAAGGCAAACAGCTTGCTTAGCCGACAAGTCTGCTCATCAAAACCATCAATTTGTGTTCACCGATCCTAAACTACTGTGTGACAAACTCCACCCAATCTCAAACAATTCCTCACCTTGAAAGACCCAACTTAAAACCAACTGAACAGAGACCTCAGAACCCAAGAAATACTCTACCCTAACATCCTCCTCCTGAGACTCTAACAAGGTTCTAGCAAGGTGCTGTTCTCCCTGACTGGCGTTTACTACACTGGGCTCTGCTTATCAACAGGTTTCCCTGGGATTTTTTGGGGGGAGCTGACAGTCTACACCAGACTCCCCCTACCCACCTGGTTTTATTTAAATACATCTCTCTAGCATTTTGTATGTTGTTCTTCTGGAAACAGGAGTCATCAAAGAATTTTTGGAAAATAGGTGACTAGGTCAAATTTCTTAGTCTTCTCAAATATCTTTGTTTTCCAATCATCACCTGGCAAGGTGTTTGGCACTTGAACAAATTCAAAATACTTAAGTTGTTCTGAAATGAACTGTACATCAGGGCACAAATTCTGGCTCTGTCTTGTACCAATTCAGTGACCCAGAAAAAATCACTGGATCTCAGTTTATACATTGGGCTATTAATAACTGCTACAATATATACAACATCTCAAAACTACACATTGCTAAACATAAAGTGTATTTTAGATAACATTTAAACATTCAAAAGTTTTCAATTCAACAAATATTTCTGAGGGAACGCTGTGTGCCAGGGACTGCACTCATTCAAGGCCCTAGATTCAGAGTTTCCTGATTTACTCATTTCTACCAACTGCCACTTCCCCTCTACTTCAGCAACTAGCTCTGGTTGTCACTCCAGGATTATGTTATCACACTGGTCTACCTTTGAATTGATCCCATTTGGTGATTTGGATCTTCAGTCCTTCCAATTATCTCTTTTATTCCTTCCATATCTCCTCTTTAACCTAATGAAAGCCTCCAGCCTCTGGACCCAAAATCATCACATAGAGCAAAGCTCTGACGATCAAGACCACCCTCTTGGACTAGTAAATGAACAAAAAATAAATTTGATTGTGTGAAGCCACTAATACTCTGGCATTCCTTTCTTTTTCCTTTTTCTTTCCCATCCTCTCTTCCTTTCTTATTGTAGGTGGCATTATTCAAACAAATAAACACAGGAGCTCTTACAAGAGAACAATCCATTCAGCTTGAAGAATGGTAAGAGCAATTAGGACAATTACAGAAAGGAGCAATACCAGAAACTCAGTTTTGAAGGATAAACGAGAATTTGTCAGGTGGTCAATGGGGTAAAGAACATCCCAGTTAGGGATGATGAGTTATGATTCCTAATACTCATGCTCCAATGAACCAGGCATCTGCTTCATTATCATCATTGTAGTTGTCTGTCATCATCAAACCAGCTGACAGTTATTGAGAGCTTACTCTGTCTCAGTGTGACAGGCACTCTTGGCTGGCTAACGTACCACCATCCCTAACGTACCACCATCCCTAACCTACTTCTCCACTTGCCTCAATTACTAGAAAAGTAAACACTAACTTTCTGGTCTCCCTTGCAGCTAGAGATGGCCACTTTACAAAACTGTGGCCAATGAAATGAAAGTCAAACTTCACTGACGTGTTCCAGGAAGGCTTAAGTGAGGATGAATGTGGTTGATACCTTCTTCCTGCCTCTTTCTGCTCTGAATACAGATAAGAGTCTGGAGCTGGTAGTCATCTTGCGACCATAAAAGAAAAGAACCATATCTGCAGCCACCTACTTTGAGACTTCTGTTTATGTGAGAAAAAATAAACTCCTACTGATTAGGGCCCTGGGTATGTGGTACTATTTAACTTTTAAAGCCAAACCAGTCTGATGTGATAAAGCCAGGCAGTGTTCTAAGCACTTCACAAGTATTAACACCATTAGGATCATTTGGGGTTTCAAGGTAATTTAAGAGACCATTTGGGAGAATTTTATCAAATTACTGATCAATTGTGTCCTGTAAGCTATAGGATTTTAGTAATGCTCCAGCAGTGTAAACTTGACTTGGTCCTCACAAGCTTCTAGGCAAAACTAACTACGAGAAACAGAACAGTTAACTCATAGCCTTTATTCTTTATTCTATGAAGAAAACCATACCATGTGGTCAAAAGGTCTGGAGTAGAGAGTGGAGGAGGTTAAGTAGGACATGCGTCAGGAAAGCCTGGCTGGAATCACAGACTGCATGCCACACAAAGGAGACAACACAAAAATGAAAAAAGCTCAACTGTCTTAATAACCAAAAAGGACAAATTAACATTTTCTTTTTTGTATGAAAATTATACATCCAAAGTCTGAAATAGTGATATTAGTGCAACAAATTTTTTTAAAGAGGAATTCAAACAAACCTTTTGATTTTTCTGTATTTCTTCTCTCATATGTTGATTTACAGCAATTCTGGTCAGAGATCTGGGAAAATATTGATATGATTCATTCCTCCTTAGATGTTTAGGACTAATCTATAATTCACTGTAATGTAACACTTTCATGACTGAAAAGTGTACATTCTCACATAGCCGATTTGCCAAGTGGTACGATGGCTTTCCTTTGATTCAGGTGGAATAGAGATTGTCAAAAGTTCATGTGCACTAATTGTATGCAAAAATATTGTCAGAGCTTGTTTACTACTAGATGGTACTCATTTTTCAAAAGCATTTGATTGAAAATGCTATTCTGCGTTGTTTTGCCCACAAAGGAAATCTTTGTATGAAATTACCAACATCATCATATGCGTCAATGCAAACAGGCAATTTTCAGAATATTTGTACATAAAGAATGTTGCTTAACCTGGGATCTTTACATGAGTATATAAGTTCTAAAATACTGGTAATAGTGACTGCACATATTCATTCTTGAAGAGCTTATAACTCCCTTATAATTTGAAGGTAGAGCAGAAATGGTTTTTACTAAGCCTATTAACTGCATTTGACTTGAAAACTCCTCTAAGATGGCTTAGTTATATATATATACGCCAATTTTATACACAGATGAAAATGACTTAAAAATTAAGATTGTTAATTCAAAGTTACGCCTTAAGTAAAACTCAAGCAGAAAGGTATATCTTAAACCAATGTACAATAACTGTGTACTATCTCTGAAAATTTGGCAGCATTGGGGAAAAATTACAACTGAAAATTTGACAATACACATTTTTCATTTGTTTAGCAAATATTTCAACAGTTACTGATTGTCTACTGAATGGCTTTAGACATATGCTCAAGCCTACAATTTAGCCATTAAGCAGTGTTAGCATAGTTTGCAAAATTTTTTTAATGACCAACCACAAATTAAGATCAGAGTTTAGCAGCAGAACCCCTGAATAGTTGTACTGACTTACAGACAAAAGAGCAAATCAACAGTCTTCTTAAAACTAAAATTATTTTACTTTATTTGTATTTGATCTAGTGATTTCAAAAGCTACTGTTACTTAACGGCAGTGTGGGTAAACATACACATTTACACTCACAGATACATATTTCATGTTTTAGTATTTAAACGCTGACTTCTCAAATTCTTGACCGGGTAAACAAAAATTGACTGAAAAGAGTCATATTAACATACTCATTCTTAATCTGTAAATAAGGTGACAACTTCTTTATTTTCAGAGTACTATTAAAAGGTTCTTGGTATCTTGTGGCCAATTAGGTACTATTTGTTTTACAGAAGTAAAGAAGTCCTAGCTTTAAGATTCACTAATTTATACTGTGGATGAATGTACAAAATAGTGTTTGAGACAAGAGAGGCCTCGTAATCATCCACTGCTTCTGGAAGGGTGCTGAGAGCACAAGGATGCTCTGCAATCCCTCTCGATAAAACGCTGCTGTCGCACTTGTCACTGCGGTATGTCTCCAAAATAAGCTAACTTACTGGTTGCTTGTAAGTTTACATTCTGTCATTCCTAACCAGAATACAAAAGCATCAACATTTTGTTATTTTGTAAATCCTTATAATACCTGGTACCCTGAATTGTATGTTCTGGTTACTTTTAGATATGCAAATGTATTATCTACTGAACTGGCAGATGTGTTTACTGTAACATCTGTATTTCCGGAAGCAATTCAATTAGATATCCAATTGGCAAAAAAGTATTCCAGAAAATATTCCATACAATTAAGCCATTACTAATTGTTTGGAACCTGAAAGGGCAAGAACATGATTTGCCATACTTTGGTCTATTTAGGATAATACATTTCTTCATCTTCCATAGAGGAAAGAGAAAAATGCTCCTTTATTATTTATTGTTTAAACAAGTTTTTTCTTGGATTACCATGTCTCACTGTTTATGTTTAAATAATTTTTAAAATAAATTACTTTTCCATTCTATTGGCCTCTAATTCAAGTTCTATTTTGTAGTATATACACCCGTGTGCACAAGTCACTATTCTGCTCTAGTAAAAAAACCAACATACATAATGAAGAAGGGCCCTGATTTCATAAACACTATATATACTAGAATTAATTGACATCATTATGTTAAATGAAATAGCTATTTTCATAAAATTTATTTAATGGAAAGAGTTCTGGCTATAATCAAACCAATTAACTTTAGTATACCTGGCTTTTAGGGGGAAGTTCTGCGAGATGTCTTTCATTAATTTTATGGCATCATAAACTGGAGTGGACATTATTTGAGAAGCTGCTTGAAAACTAAGATCTGTAAGAAAAAAATATCATTAAGGAAGTTATTATAATGTCGGAACTTTATAGACATGTTCATGTAATTTATATAATTTACTCAACCCCTCTTGCCATAATATTCATATACAGACACGATAACATTCTTACTCTTATATTTAGCATTTTTCAAAAGTTTTAAATGGAAAGCTTTCACTTACATCCAATTAAGGTAAGCTTTCCATTTTTATGAATGAGAAACTATCATTTAACGCCTATTATTTGTTTTCCAAAAATTACAGTTTAACTTCAAAAAGATGTATATATATATATAAATAAATATAAAAAGAAATGCTGATGCAAAACTATTTTTCTATACTCAGGTTAAATAAAACATGCAACAAGAAGCTTTAATAAAAAGAATAACAGGGGGCGGAGCAAAATGGCAGGCTGAGCTGACCTGGGATTCTCTCCCCTCCAAAATACAACAAAGAATTGGAAAAACTGAATTTCAGAGAATGAATCTAATGTCACCACATTAGAGACCTACAATACCAAGAAGGCGGAGATCATAAACCTAGCTTTACACCTTCGGAGGCGCTGGAACGGTAGGAGAGAACGTCGCTCCCTCCCCTAGAGTCTGCGATCGCTGCTGCGCAGGTTGGGAAGGAGCGGGGGAGGGGCAACGCGACCGGGGATCATCCAGGACTCCTGCTGCTGATTCAGTGGAGACCCGCTGACCGGGGGAAGCTTCCGTGCTCGGGGACCCCATAAACCCAGGGCCTCGGGAGACCAGAGAACAGAACTGATCTGAATCCAGATCAGAGTGCGAGAATAGCAGCCCCTCCCTCCCGGCAAAGCCAGTGGATGCAGCCATCTTGCCCCAAGGCAGAGAGCTCAGGACACACAGCTCTTGACCCCCATCTAGTGGCAACAGGCTGTAACTGCAACCGAATTCTACCACCATGTGAAAAAACCGCTCCTCTACCATCCAGCAATTTATAAAAGCCCCAGACCAGAAGGAAAACAATAAAAACATAGAATTAAGTCCTGAGGACTTGGAATTAGGTAAACTAAGTGATAATAAGTTCAGAGCAGCTATAATAAAAAAACTCAATGAGGTAGAGAGAAAGATAGAGGAATAAGCCAATGAGTTCTGGAGTTACTTCACAAAAGAGATTGAAATCATAAAGAAGAATCAAACAGAATTACTAGAGATGAAAAACACAATGAACCAGATAAAACAGAACATGGATTCCCTGAATGCCCGTGTAGACACCAGAGAAGAGCAAATTAACATAACTGAAGATAGACAGGCTGAATGGCTCCAGACAGAGGAAGAAAGAGAACTAAGAATTAAAAAAAAACAAGGAAAATCCCGAAGAGACAGTGGATTCAATGAGGAGTAAGAACTTAAGGATCATAGGAATTCCTGAGAACGTGGAAAAGGAAAATGGGGCAGAAAGTGTGCTTAACGAAATTATTGAAGAGAACTTCCCAAATCTAGGGATTGACGGAGAAATGTGTGTAGAGGAAGCTTTCAGATCTCCTAGATTTGTCAATGTAAAAAGACCTACTGCAAGGCACATAGTAGTACAATTGGCAAGAAGGAAAGATAAAGAGAGAATACTCAGGGAAGTAAAAAAAAAGGCAGAGAATAACCTACAAAGGAGCCCCTATCAGACTTTCAGCAGATTTCTCTACAGAAACCTCACAAGCTAGGAGAGAATGGAGTGACATATTCAAAGCTTTAAAAGATAAAAATCTTCAGCCAAGAATACTCTATCCGGCAAGAATTTCCTTCAGATATGAGGGATAAACTAAATCTTTTCCAGACAAACAAAAGTTAAGGGAATTTGTAACTAAAAGCCCTCCACTACAAGAAATCCTCAAAAAGGCTCTCATACCTGAAAAAAGAAAAAAGAAAGAAAGGGGTCACAATCCACAGACTAGGGAGACCGACGGATAGAACCAGAACAGGATAGCAAATATTCAATTATAGCATTAGGGTAAAGGTAAGGAAACCACCAAAACAAGGGCGATCTTATCACTCTAATACAAATTCATAACACGAGTTGGAATAAGACATGAAAATAATTATTTAGGAGGGGAAGAGCAAAGGGTCTAAATCAGTCTAGGCCAAGTAAGTAAGAGACCACCAGAGAATAAACTATATTATACACGAGATTCTAAATACAAACTTCAGGATAGACACTAAAATAAAATACAGAACAGAGTCACAAATCATAAATAAGGAAAAATCTAAGAAACCCAGCATAAGAAAGTGCAGTATTAAAAGGGTAGTCTAAAGCACACAGGAAAAGAAATGCAGGAAAACAAGATAGTGAGTGACAGATTGTCAGCATTAAGTCCACATGCATCAATAATCACTCTCAATGTAAATGGATTGAACTCTCCAATAAAAAGACACAGAGTGGCAAATGGATTAAAGAACAAGATCCAACAATTTGTTGCCTCCAAGAAACACACCTCAGCCCCAAGAACAAACACAGGCTCAGGGTGGAGGGGTGGAGGACAATACTTCAAGCAAATAGCAAGGAAAAAAAAGGCAGGTGTTGCAATTCTCATATGAGACCAAGTGGATTTCAAAATAGGACAGGTAAAGAGAGACACAGAGGAACAATATATAATGATCAAAGGGACACTTCATCAAGAAGAAATAACGCTTATAAATATCTATGCACCCAACACAGGAGCACCAAGATTCACAAAGCAACTATTAACAGACCTAAAGGAAGATGTTAAAAACAACACAATAATAGTAGGAGACCTCAACACTCCACTCACATCAATGGACAGATCATCCAGACAGAAAATCAACAAGGAAATAGTGGACCTAAATGAAAAACTAAAACAATTGGACTTAATAGACATATATAGATCACTCCACCCTGAAGGAGCTGAATACACATTCTTCTCAAGTGCACATGGGACATTCTCAAGGATAGACCATATGTTGGGAAACAAGGCAAGCCTCTACAAATTTAAAAAAATTGAAATAATAACAAGCATCTTCTCTGATCATAGTGCTATAAGGCTAGAAATTAATTACAAGAAAAAAGCTGAGAAAGACACAAAGATGTGGAGACTAAACAACACACTACTGAACAAGCAATGGATCACTGAAGAAATTAAAGAAGAAATCAAAAAATACCTGGAAACAAATGAAAATGATAGCATGCTATACCAACTCATATGGGATACAGCAAAAGCTGTATTAAGAGGAAAATTCATCGCAATACAGGCATATCTTAACAAACAAGAAAAATCCCAAATAAGCAATCTTAAACTACACCTAACTGAATTAGAGAAAGAAGAACAAAGCCCAAAGTCAGCAGGAGAGAAATAATAAAAATCAGAGCAGAAATAAATACTATTGAAACGAAAAAGGCAGTAGAAAGGATCAATGAAACAAAGAGCTGGTTTTTTGAGAAGATAAATAAAATTGACAAACCACTAGCCAGACTTACAAAGAAAAAAAGGGAGAAAGCACAAATAAACAAAATCAGAAATGGAAGAGGAGAAATAACAACAGACTCTGCAGAAATACAACGGATTATAAGAGAATACTACGAAAAACTATATGCCAACAGAATGGATAACCTAGAGGAAATGGATAAGTTCTTGGACTCCTACAATCTCCCAAAGCTCACTCAAGAAGAGGCAGACAATTTGAACAGACCAATTACAAGGAAAGAGATTGAAACAGCAATCAAAAACATCCCAAAGAATAAAACCCCAGGACCAGATGGCTTTCCTGGGGAATTCTACCAAACTTTCAGAGAGGATTTAATACCTATCCTTTTCAAGCTATTCCAAAAAATTAGGGAAGATGGAACACTTCCTAACACATTCTATGAGGCCAACATCATGCTGATACCAAAACCTGACGAGGACACCACGAAAAAAAGAGAACTACAGGCCAATATCACGGAGGAACATAGATGCAAAAATTCTAAACAAAATTTTGGCAACCAGAATTCAGCAATTCATCAAAAGGATCATACATCATGATCAGGTGGGATTCATACCAGGGACACAGGGATGGTTCAACATCTGCAAATCAATCAACATGATACACCACATCAACAAACTGAGGAATAAAAACCACACGATCATCTCAATAGATGCAGAGAAAGCATTTGACAAGATCCAACAGCCATTTATGATAAAAACTCTGAAGAAAATGGGCACAGAAGGAAACTACCTCAACATAATAAAGGCCATATATGACAAACCCATAGCCAACATCATACTCAATGGGCAAAAACTGAACACCATCCCCCTGAAAACAGGAATGAGACAAGGAGTGCTGGGGGCTGGAAACGTGCTGGGATATATTGAGGAAATTCTGTTTACAGTTACTCTGCTAGAAAGTGATATAGAGCTGAAGCTGGAACCCTGGTCTGTTAGATTCTACCATCCCACGGAGACTACCCTAAGAACATCTTTTTCTAAGCTTTGACTCCAAGTTGATCCACCACTTCACACTGAGAATATGGAAACAAAACTAGCCTTGTCACTGCAGACTGGTTGTTTTACTAGTATTTGCTAAGCTAAGATTCCACCTTTAGTGAAATGTTAAAGAGAAACAGTATGCTTCACTATTAGGTAATGAAAGAATTCAGTTTTAAAATCTTTTCTGACTCTTGACAAAGTAATGAGACTAATGCAATCAGTCAAGGTATGAAAACAACCTGGGGCCGGCTCCGTGGCCGAGTAGTTAAGTTCGCGCGCTCCGCTGTGGCGGCCTAGGGTTCGGATCCTGGGCGCGGACATGGCACCGCTCGTCAGGCCACATTGAGGTGGCGTCCCACATCCCACAACTAGAAGGACCTGCAACTAAGATATACAACTATGTACAGGGGGGTTTGAGGAGATAAAGCAGAAAAAAAAAAAGATTGGCAACATTTGTTAGCTCAGGTGCCAATCTTTAAAAGAAAAAAAAAGAAAACAACCTACGGGTCTGTTGACAGATGATGGATAAAGAAAAGAATATTATTCAGTCTCAAAAAAGGAGATCCCGCTATTTGAGACATCACTTTTTTTTTCCCCTTCTTCTGCCCAAAGCCCCAGTACATAGTTGTATATTCTAGTTGTAGGTCCTTCCAGTTCTGCTATGTGAGACGCCACCTCAGCATGGCTTGATGAGTGGTACTAGGTCCACACCCAGGATCCAAACCGGTGAAACCCTGGGTTGCCAAAGCAGAGTGCATGAACTTAACCACTCTGCCATGGGGCCAGGTCCAATTAAACAGCATTTCTTGAGGAAGCCTTCCCTTTCTATTTCCTTCCCTCCCCGCCACCCCAACAGGTTCAGATCTTCCTGGCATGTACCCTTCATACACCATGTACTTTCCTCTGCAGCATTTACAATGGTAATTTTTACACTGTTCTTTTCTTTTTAATGTTCTACCTCGTATTTTCGTTATTTGGAATCAGGACATGTCCCCACTATTAGATGTTTAGCTCTAAACACTGGTTTTTAAAATTATTTATGTTTATCTAAGACCCTTAGAAGAAACAACGTATCTGTTTTAGCTCATCATTTCATCTTCAGAATCTAGTATTTTTCAAAATGTCAGGTGGAACCCATTTAGTAGTGAAATCAGATTAATAGGAAATACATTTTCTAATGAAATAGGGTAGAATAAAAAAAGTTTTGCCAGAGTGAATAAAATGTAGTAAACATAAATACTGTATGCTGAAGCTTTTGGTTTTGAGCATATCTATGTATTCACATATTATGCACAGTATGGGTCTTGATAACAAAATATACTTCCTACTGTAGGTCTCAAGCAAAAATTATAAAACTAAGGCTATAGGGACATGACTGACACCTAGCAGACATTCAATAAATATTTGTTGAATCAATCAAAACAAAAAGTACTGATCACTTTCTCTTTCTTGAAAATCTATTTCCTTCAGCTTCCACAACGCACTCTTCCATTTCTTACCTTTCCACCGTGTCTTCTTTACGGTCTACTTTCCACACGTGGCCGAGCACCACAGCACTCTGCCCCGTGCACCGACTCGGTCACTCTACCACTTCAGTTAGCACCCTCTCCTCTTACAACCTTTATGCTAAGATTTTCAGCTTTGTAAATCCTCTCCTTTTGGCTTAAGGACTTTACATTCACTCCACCACTGGACCTCGTCATCTGGATGTGTCACAATCAGTTTAAGTCAATCTTTTTAATGCTGGTCTCATTATTTCTGGGGCCCATATTCAACCTTAAAACGACCTGACACGTTTTATATTATCTCTACTTAGGGTCAAAGCTGGAAATCTTGAAGTCATCTTTGATTCCTTTTATCTCCTAAATATTTGCCAAATCCAGCCTTCTCTTCTACGCCTTCTACCACATAGTTCAAACTCTCATGACGTTATTTCAATGATGTCTTAACTAATTTTCCTGTTTCCAGTCCATTCAAATATATCTTACACAGACACTAAAGAAGTTAATTAAAACTAAGCTGGCTATCTTTGATCTCTGTTTACAAGCCTTCAAAAGCACCCTATCACTTACAATTTTCTAAATTATGAGTCCCTTTGAGAACATTTTGAAGAAAAGGTAGATTGCTGCTTGCCTCCACACGGAGGAGTTGGGGAGAAATAGGGTATGACTGTTAATGGGTATGTTAGTTTCCTTCTGGGGTGATGAAAATACTCTAAAATTGACTGCAGTTACAGTTAAAGAATTCTGAAAATATACTAAAATTCATTGAATGGTACACTTTAAGTGGGTATCTTGTATAATATGTCAATTATATTTCAATAAGCTGCTACATTAAAAAAAAGTTGATGAGATGGGACAAAAGTTACGGATTACCCAAAAAATGACGTTTCCATGACCTATTAAAAATTAAAAATAATAAAAAAGAAAATTACAAACTGAAAAGGACTTAAGAGTTTAATTCAAACCAAATTTTGGTCACAAAATATTTGCCTATAGGATGTTAGCACAGAAGCTAAGTTAACATTGAAACCTGCAATGGTCTATTAAGATCAAAATTTTAAAGAGAAGAAAACTAAGGTTTAGTCCTGATTTCTCCCGACCTACTACTCAGGATTTTTAACCAGTGTTACAGATTCTCTGAAATGTGATTTAATACTTGAGATGAACGTCTAAGATAAATCATGTATACTTTAAAAATGATTAGATAATATATAACTATCCTTCATATAATTTTAAGTCTTACAAAAATATGATGTGTTTGATGGATAACCTTTTAATTAAATATATTTCCACAAAAAGTAATGTAATAACATATTATTCACATTAATAATTATTTTGTCTATGAAATAAGTTATATCATGTTATATAAAAGCTTAACAAAACAGAGATCAGTTATCAAAATGCTGTGTTAAAGTAGACCAAAATACTATACCTTGTAGTTCCCACACTTTCAAAGGAATCATTTCTTTATTACTCTCAATCAGGTATTTTTGGAATGCGGTCAGATTATCTCTAAGATGTGAATATCTCTCTCTGCATTAGAATATTAAGTAATGTTAATTATTATCACCTAATACAAATCATTATACAAGCAGTATATTTTTTAAATTGACTCTTCCAAATAGACACAAACTAAGATAATAATAAACTGCGATGCAGCTACATCCACAGAACTTAAAAATGATGAGGGAGATATATGTCTACTTTTGGTCAATATATAAAACCAAACCAAACCAAACCAAACCAAAATCTAGAGGGATGTACTCTCAATTGTTAACATGCTAACGTTACCTATAAGGAATCCAAGCACGAGGGCAGAATTATTAGTTTTTACGTTACATACTTTTTATTTTAAAATTTTATAAATTAGAAGTACTGCTTTCATAATTTAAAACAAAAGCTATTTTATAATGAAAGACATTGATGCTTCTATACAATCTTAGAATTTACTCTATTTCTGAAAAGTTCCAACTTGGAAACTTATAAGAACCTTAAATAAGGTCAATTTTGCCTAATGTTAAAACACATCTAGACATCTTTTAGAGAGTGCCAAATATTAATGTACTAGAATGACATTTTACTGTACATATAATCTAAATAATCTTCTTTCTTCTCTCTTGAAATCAAAGTATAGTGCCATTTCAGATTTAAAAAGACAGAATTCTTGGGACTGGCCCAGTGGTGTCATGGTTAAGTTCACACACTCCGTTTCGGCAGCCTGGGGTTCACGGGTTCAGATCCCAGGTGCAAACCTATATACTACTCATCAAGCCATGCTGTGGTGGCTTCCCACTTACAAAATAGAGGAAAATTGCCACAGACGTTAGCTCAGTGACCACCTTCCTCAAGAAAAGAGAGGAAGATTGGCAAGAGACGTTAGCTCAGGGACAGTCTTCCTCATGAAAATAAATAAATAAATAGAATTCTTTTGTGAAAAATCTTATCTAGCCAGCAGAAAAACTTATAAAACACATATTTTCAACAGCAAAGAGAAGATTTTAAAAAGTGAAATGAAAAATAAATACACAGAACATACACACAGAAATGCATTAATCTTGTATTTAACAATAAATACATACTCTACTCAATATCCTGCAATTTTATTACAACATGGGACCACATTTTGAAAATCAATCAAGACTATAACTGCTCATATAGTAAAAAAGCAATAGAATTTCTTCCAAAAAGAAGTTCACTATGAATTAAATTGACTTCTCCTTTCTCAATATTTTACATTACAGAGTAATGTAAAATACTTACATTAAGTTACATTACATTAAGTTTATAAGAGCTATTATATTGCTTTTCATATTTAATCAAAAGCTTAATGATAATTTTTTCTGCTAAAATTATTTATGTAATGCAGGTAAAAATACATTATTCATACAATACCTCAAAGCAAAGAGTTTTTGCCTAAATCAATTGAGTAATTGTATAAAAACTAACTTTGAGTATTTCCTCCTTTAAAAAACTAACATTCTAGGGTTCCAAAGGCTTTTTGGATGAGTAATTTATTCCCATAAAAAGTTATGTTTAAAACAGAATAAGGGGGCCAGCCCCGTGGCCGAGTGGTTTAGTTCACACACTCTGCTTCAGCGGCCTGGGGTTTCGCCAGTTCAGATGCTAGGCACGGACACGGCACTGCTCAACAGGCCATGCTGAGGCCACGTCCCACATAGCACAACCAGAGGCACTCACAACTAGAATATACAACTACATACTGGGGCCTTGGGGGAGAAGGGAAAAAAAAAAAGATGACTGGCAACAGTTGCTAGCTCAGGTGCCAATCTTTAAGGCAAAAAAAAAAAAAAAAAAGACGGGGGAGAAGAAATTGGCTTAAAAAAAATAATAAATAAATAAAACTACAGATTCCAAGTTGTTGCAACACAACTGAAAATGCAATAAAAATGTATTGTTATCCACTAAATAAAAACTTTACTTAGAATAAATCTGTTTGCATGATGCATTAACTTTTTAAGCCCACTAATGTGCCGCTTGGCCAAAATACTTTAGGAATAAAACTCAATCATCAGCATAAAGTAGCAGAGTCTCCAAAGATGCTCCCCTCACTCTGTACCCTTATCTACTCACCAGGAGACCTGACCTTAGCGACCTTTATAAATACTTGTAATACTGAATAAGAGCTAAAAATATTAATAGAAACAGTCTTTTACTTTGAATTAATTTTGTCTTTGTAATGGAATGGCAAACTTTCCCTTCTTGTAAATAAAGGAAAGCACACACAAAACTCTAATGATCTCTTTTCATGAGTATTCAGAGAGCACTCACCATCCTATTCCTTGTCTTCAACCAGTGACGCAGGAAAAAAAAAGGGGCACAACTTTAATTTTTGAAAGGTTACTTATACAAGTATATGAAATTAAGACCAGATGCTAAAAGGTTTCTAATATAGTAACCTGTGGCACAGAAATTTAAGTAAATAAATATCTTATCTTCTTTTGAGGCATAAAAATTTTGATTTTTTCATGCTAAAGATCCAATATTAACCATGATTTCTGTAACTGATTAGATCTGTAACAGAATCTATAAAGTTTTGTTTTAGTTTTTTGCCAGAGATAACTTTGATCATTTTCAATTCCTTTTTTCTAATCATACTCATCATCTTGTGGAACTAGTGACTATTTTCAATTTTGTGCTTTTTGCAGTAACTGTGACTTACTTTTGTAATAAAAACAACATATATATTTTAAAAATGAGAAACATATACCTTCACAGCATATTGGATTAATTCCTTTAAGGATAAACTTAAGAGTACAGTAATAAAATTTTATTTCCATTCAGACCTACTTTAGTTTCCCAAAGAGAAATCCCTGAACTTCTTTTGTTTCAACCTCATCTTCTACGGAGGCATTAGTCACAGCTGTATTTTGGAAACAAAAACAAGACAAAAACATTTTTAGACTGGGAAAGGAATACACGATCAAAAATTAGAGCTCAAAATGAAATCAAAGTCCATGTGGCTTGCCTTGTTTTTCCTTCATATATCAGCTTAATGACACATGCATGTACACACGCCGTATTCCTGAGTATGCTTTCTCTTTTTAAACGGGCTTGAGCATTAAATATTTAACAACCATAATAAAGGCTCTATAGACAATTTCCTAGTCAAGTTCTATTTTATAATCAGAATGATAAACCACAAGGCCTGCAACCAATATTGGGTTCAGCTCTTATGGCAGGCAAGAGATCCACACCCTAACAAATATTTTGAAAACAAAATATTTTCAACACCTTTAAAGATAATCAAGAAATCTTCAGAAAGACACAAAACTCATGGCCTCAAAGAATAAGGACAGAATAGTTTATATTCATTTTCCTTCCCTTTCCCTTTTCCTTTACTTATCAAATAACTATACATACAGTGCGGTGAGTGGTCTAGGCAAAGGGTACTTTGGGACTGTAAGAATCTGTGGCCTCCTAGAGCCTGGGCTGCTCTCCCTCAGACTGCACCAGAGCTCATCAAGTCTCCTTCTCGCCTCTCTTCCTGCCCTCCTGCAGATCTGACCTCTAAGACCACAACTGAAACCCAGGGTGCTGTGATCTCGTCTTCCTTTTCCTCCCTTTCATTCATCCCTCAGGCACACATTCACTTACTGCCTTCTATGACGCCTGATGCCTGCCGGGATCAACACCAGAAAGAGAGGAGAAACAGACACAAACTCCACTTGGTGGAAAAGGAGAGAGACAGCAGACAATTTTCATAGAGTGTGTGAAACTTTTCTGAAAGAAAGCACACAATGCATGGGATATAGAAAAGGGAAAACCATCCTCTGACAGAGCAGGAAGACAGGCAGCCATCTCAGAGGTACTGACTGATATACATGACTTAAAAGATGAGGAGGCCTTAGAGGAAATGAAAGAGTAGGGAGGAGGAAGAAGGTCTCAGGCAGAAGGAACAGCATACACTAAAGAGATGAAAGTACTCTACAGAGGTCATAAAGACTTAGCATGGAGCCAAACATGGAGGTAACCAGAGAAGGGAAAATTATTCTGGATAGTAGTTTACTGTTGCAGGACCAGAGGGTACAAATAAGAGAGGGCTGAGGGAGAGTGATAAGGTGGAAAGAGGGCAGAGTGTGAAAAGCTTTCTTTGCTACTTAGTGGCTACTAAGGGATTTTAACAGTGAAGTCACAAAGTTGGATTTTCATCCTAAGAAGTTCAGTCTGAAAGTATGCATTTAGTATATAGAACTAGAGACAGATAATTGGTTTGCAGATAACAAATCTAACCAATTTACCTTATCTAAAACAAACAATTCACAGGCCTCTCTCATCCCAAAAAAAAAAACCCAACACCACAACATCATCATCCTAACTTCATTATATATAAATAGCGGAGACAAAGCTTCCTAAGGCAGTATGTTACCAATGCATTTCAGGTTTACTGAGGTCCTGATCCCCTTAGACAGCTGACCTCCCACTCAGGGCTGGCTGGGCGCATCATGAGCCATTCTGAGCTCCTGGGCCAGCCACCTCCACCACAAGCAGCCTCACCTATGGCCTCAGTGTACCTTACATATATTATCATTTTTTATATGTTGTTTAAATCGTTGGGAAGCCACTGAGTATAAGCAAAATAACATGCTATTTTCATTTTTTAAAGAAGTTTTTGAGAGCACAATATGAAATGTATTTTTCAGTTTAAAACTAAATTTCAAACTTCAAATTAAATTCTCCAGCCTCAAATTAACATACCTAAGATTGTAGACACTAAATTTTTTAAAAACAAAGTATGTAAGTCTCCAAATTTTCATTCTACTCAAGTATAGAGAGAAAACTTACTTTTAACTTGGGTATCATCCAATGCTTTGTATTCTGTACTCTTAATCGACAGTTCCACACCATAGCCAGATAAGCACATTTTCTGTGAGACTGGTTTCTGTTCAAACACATTAATTTTTAAAAAAGAGAAAATATTTAGTGAAACATCTTTTAAATTCGGTATGACAGTGCATTAGGACATTAGGATAAAGTACTAATGTCGAAGTTTTTTAATCACTGGGAAATATTATTTGGGGGATATTTATACTTTCTCTAGATGGTCTATCAGGGAGCCAGAAATTGGTCAATGATAACTTGTTTACTTTCTAAAAACTCTGTCATGACTCTACTGTTTTAGTCTTTTACAATGAAGACATATCTAATTTTTTTCTGTTATAAATGATAATCTTCCCGTCTCTCCCATGTGTTAATTAAAAGAGGATCCAATACAATCAAGTTTCAATAAAACCGTACTCCTTTTGGGGAACTACACAAGATTTGCTAACCCAGCATAGATGTAGGACAACTAGAGTGTTGCCAAAAGCAAATACTGGAAAGTAGAGGTAATGGACACAAAAAATCCACTGCCTGAACAACCTGATTAAATTTTTCTTCAACTTTCTCAATGATTAAAATATACCAAGTGCCACAAATTAAAATCTCTTCTTGCAATGAAAGGCAACAATTGCCTAAAACTGAGTTGTCTGTGGTATTTATGATCAGAATTTTGGTACATAATTTCCCCCTTTCTGTAAAAGGGAAATATAAAATGTACTTCTAGAGATTACCCCACCAAGGAAGAGAAGTCACCACGTTTTTTCAAAAGGTAAGCAACCTGGATGAATATACATAACATTTTAGAAGATGTCTAAGGTTCTTTCTAGCTTCCAGATTGAAATTCTTACCAGTTGTGCTACCATCATTATCACTTGGCGTATTCTTTCACAGGTTAGGAAACTAGTTTAACCTACTGTGCAGCAAGCTCCCTCGAAGACGTCACATATTTTTGTTTAACTCAGATTCGCGCAGGGGTAGTTGTGCAATCCCAAATATGACAGAGGAAGAGGTAAGATGGGAGGGAAGGAGAACCTTAATAGCGTATCACTCTTCTTATTCTCTTCTATCCACCCTAAACTTCTCCCCCAGCCTTAAAAGTAAGCATACAACCAGAGTAACTATTCCTGGACTGCTCTATTTCCAAATAAGATGATGTAAGAATTAGTTTCAGATATGCAGACAAGTGTTTAACATTGCTGCCCACGCTAAAATTTAATTTGCTAATTTCTCAGGCACATGCTATAATGAAAGATAGCATAAGCCAACTAGGTGGTTTATAATTATAGTAATCTGACAAAGTTGAAAAATTTTTAAAGAGTTTTCAATTTCAAACAGCTCAATTTAAAAATACATTTTGACTATCCCTCAAAAGACAATCAGTTGGCTAAGCAAATCGAAGCTCTAAGTCCACATATCTTGTTATAGTTCATAAAAGAAATGCAATTTCATATAACCAATTTTCATTATCAGTTCTGGATATTATAAGCTCCTCAGCAATAAAGATAAGTGTTTATTAAATTCATATTTACTTTCCCCATTTGAAAATGTATTAATATAAAATTTGAATTATAGTTTAGTAAGTTTAGATTTGCAAACCAAAAATGCTAATAAGCCAAATCAACTGGTGAGAAGAATCTTCCTTCATTTTTCTATTTCTTCTTTCCCCACAAAAAGGGATCTGTTCAAAAGGTAGCATAAATAAGTCCATTTTTATTAAAATTACATGTTGACTAGATTTAAAATATAACTATTTTTAATGTAAAATAGGTCACTCATTAAATAGAAGGTTAAAATTTGATGCTACAAAGCACCCAGACAGTTGGCTAGTATGTTTTCACAGAAGTATATTTAATGGTCACATTCTCCAAAGAATAACTTGGAACACTGATTCTCCACAGATGAGTGTACCGCCTGGCGGTGCATATTAGAATCACTTAGGGGGCATCTTTTAAAAAGATAAACATATACTTCCATCTCCCACTTCCATTCCTATTATAATATAACTGACATATAACCTTATGTTAGTGTAAGGTGTACAACATAATGATTTGATATATGTATATACTATGAAATAATTACCACAATCAGTTTAGTTAATATCTATACCTCACAGTCACAGGTTTTTTTCTTTGATGAGAATTTTAAAGATCTACTCTCTCAGCAATTTTTAAACATACAATACATATTGTTAACTATAGTCACCATGCTGTACTACAACACCCCTAGAACTTATCTCATAACTGGAAGTTTGTACCTTTTGACCACTTTCACCCATCATCCCCTCCACCCCTTGCAACCACCAATCTGTTCTGTTTCTATGAGCTTGGTTTTTTCAGATTCTACATATAAGCGAGATCATATGGTATTTGTTTTTCTCTGTCTGACTTATTTCACTTAGCATAATGCCCTCAAGATCTATCCATGGTGTTGCAAACAGCAGGATTTCCTTCTTTTTAAAGGTTGACTAACATTCCATTATATATATATACACACAAACAAACACATACCACATTTTCTTTATCCACTCATCCACTGATGGACGCTTAGGTTGTTCCCATATCGTGGCTACTGTAAGTTAATGCTGCAATGAACATGGAGTGCAGATATCTTTTCCACATAGTGATTCATTTCCTTGGGATATATACCCAGAAGTAGAATTGCTGGATCACATGAAAGTTCCATTTTTTTTTTTTTTTTTTTTTTTAAAGATTTTATTTTTTCCTTTTTCTCCCCAAAGCCCCCCAGTACATAGTTGTATATTCTTGGTTGTGGGTCCTTCTAGTTGTGGCATGTGGGACGCTGCCTCAGCGTGGTTTGATGAGCAGTGCCATGTCCGCGCCCAGGATTCGAACCAACGAAACACTGGGCCGCTTGCAGCGGAGCGCGCGAACTTAACCACTCGGCCACGGGGCCAGCCCCATGAAAGTTCCATTTTTAACTTTTTGAGGAACCTCCATACCGTTGTCCATAGTGGCTGCACCAATTTACATTCCCACCAACATTATATAAGGGTCCCCTCTTCTCCACATCCTTGCCAACACCTGTTATCTCTTGTCTTTTTGATAACAGTCATTCTAACAGGTGTGAGGTGGTATCTCATTGTGGTTTTGATTTACATTTCTCTGATGATGATTAGTGATGTCGAGCACCTTTTCGTGTACCTGTTGGCCATCTGTATGCCTCTTTTGAAAAAATGTCTACTCAAAAATAGATACAAAAATCTTCAACAAAATTTTGGGAACCCGAATTCAGCAATACGTTAAAAAGATCGTATGTCATGATCAAGTGGGATTTATACCAGGGACACAGGGATGGTTCAACATCTGCAAATCAATCAGTGTGATACACCACCATCAACAAATGGAGGAATAAAAAGCACATGATCATCTCAATAGATGCAGAGAGAGCATTTGAAAAGATCCAACAGCCATTTATGAGAAAAACGCAACAAAATGGTGATAGAAGGAAATTACCTCAACAAAATAAAGGCCATATATGACAAACCCACAGCCAAGATCATACTCAATGGGCAAAAACTAAATGCCAGACCTCTGAAAACAGGAACAAGACAAGGATGCCCACTATCACCACTCTTATTCAATGTAGTACTGGAGGTTTTGGCTAGAGCAATTAGGCAAGAGAAAGGAATAAAACGAATCATAACAGGGAGTGAAGAAGTGAAACTCTCCCTGTTTGCAGACGACATGATCTTATAGATAGAAAACCCTAAAGAATCTATTAGAAAACCATTAGAAATAATTAACAACTACAGTAAAGTTGTAGGCTACAAAATCAACTTACAAAAATCAGTTTCTTTTCCATACTCTAATAACGAACTTACAGAAAGAGAACTCAAGAATACAATTCCAGTACAATCGCAACTAAAAGAATAAAGTACCTAGGAATAAATTTAACCAAGGAGGTGAAGGACTTAATATGATGAAAACTATAAGACATTACTGAAAGAAACTGATAATGACATAAAGAGATGGAGATTCCATGCACAAGGATTGAAAGAATAAACAGTTAAAATATCCATACTACCCAAAGCAATCTACAGATTCAATGCAATCCCAATCAAAATCCCAGTGACATTCTTCATGGAAATAGAACAAAGAATCCTAAAATTCATATGGGGCAACCGAAGACGCCAAATTGCTAAAGAAATTCTGAGAGAAAATAACAAAGCTAGAGGCATCACAATCCCTGACTTCAAAATGTACTAGAAAGCCATAGTGATCAAACAGGCAGGGTACTGGTACAAAAACAGGCACACAGATCAACTGACCAGAACTGAAAGCCCAGAAATAAAACCGCAAATCCACAGACAGCTAATCTTCGACAAAGGTGCCAAGAACATACAATGGAGAAATGATAGTCTCTTCAATAAATGGTGTTGGAAAACTGGACAGCCACACGCAAAAGAATGATGTAGACCATTATCTCACGCCATAAACAAAAATAAACTCAAAATGGATCAAAGACTTGAAGCTAAGTCCTGAAACCATAAAACTCCTGGAAGATAATATAGGTAATATACTCTTTGACACCGAACTTAAAAGGACCTTTGTGACTACCAGGTCTTCTCAGACGAGGGAAACAAAAGAAAAAATAAACAAGTGGTAGTTCATCAGACTAAAGAGCTTCTGCAAGGCAAAAGAAACTAGGATTAAAACAAAGAGACAACCCACCAACTGGGAGAAAATATTTCTAAATCATATATCTGACAAGGGGTTAATCTCCATAATATATGAGGAACTCACACAACTGAACAATAAAAAAACAATCTGATCAAAAAATGGGCAGAGGAGATGAACATTTTTCCAAAGGACATATACAGATGGCCATAAACACATGAAAAGATGTTCAACATCACTAATCATCAGGGAAATGCAAATCAAAACTACCCTAAGATACCACCTTATTCCTGTTAAAATGGCTATAATCACTAAGACTAAAAATAACAAATGTTGGAGAGGGTGTGGAGAAAAGGGAACCCTCATACACTGCTGGTGGGAATGCAAACTGGTGCAGCCACTATGGAAAACAGTATGGAGATTCCTCAAAAAACTAAAAATAGAACTACCATATGACTCAGCTATCCTACTACTAGGCATCTACCCAAACAACTTGAAATCAACAATCCAAAGTAGCATATGTACCCCTATGTTCATTGCAGCACTATTCACAATAGCCAAGATATGGAAACAATCCAATTACCCACTGACTGATGATGGGATAAAGAAGATGTGGTATACATATACAATGAAATACTACTTAGCCATAAAAAGACCAAATCATCCCATTTGCAACAACATAGAAGGACCTGGAGAGAATTATGCTAAGCGAAATAAGCCAGACTGAGAAAGACAAACACCAGATGATTTCACTCATATGTGGATTATGAACAGACACAGGGACAAAGAAAACAGTTCAGCGGTTACCAGGGGAAGGGGGATGAGGAGTGGGCACGGGGTGAAGGGGAGCACCTATGTGGTGACAGTCAAGAAATAATATACAACTGAAATCTCACATTGATGCAAACTATTACGAACTCAATAAAAAAAAGGTCTATTCAGGTCCTTTGCCCATTTTTTAATCAGATTTTTTTTTGCTAGTTAGTTGTATGAGTTCTTTATACAGTTTAGATATTAACCCCTCATCAGATATATGAATTACAAATATTTTCTCCCATTCCATAGGCTGCCTTTTCATTTTGCTGACGGTTTTCTTTGCTGTGCAAAGGTTTTTTAGTTTGATGTACCCCTAACTTGTTTATCTTTGTTTTTGGTGTCAGATCCAAAAATCACTGCGAAGACTAATGTCAAGGAGTGCTTTCCCTAGGTTTTCTTCTAGTAGTTTCATGGTCTCAGATTTTACATTTAAGTCTTTAATCCATTTTGAGTTAATTTTTGTGAGCTGTGTAAGACAGGGGTCCAGTTTCATTCTTTTATATGTGGTTATCCAGCCTTTCCGGCATCAATTTATTGATGAGAATATCTATTCCTGAGTATTCTTGGCTCCCTTGACAAATATTAGTTGATCACACATGCATGGGTTTATTTCTCGGCTCTCTGTTCTGTTTCATTGATCTATGCATCTATTTTTATATCAATACCACACTGTCTTGATCACTATAGCTTTGTAACATAGTTTGAAATCAGGCAGTGTGCTGCCTCCAGTCTTGTCCTTCTTTCTCAAGATTGCTTTAGATTTTAAAGCTACTGAAATTAAAATGATGTTTTATTTTTGTACAATAAAGACATGTATTATTGGAACAGAACAGAGTCTAAAAACATACATGCCTATATGAAAACTTGGTATATGATGGCACAGAATAGAGTCAACTGTTCAACGAATTACGTGGGGACCATGGTTTCTCCATATGGAAAAACTAAAATTATCTCTATACCTCACAGTATATTAAAATACACTCCAGATGGATTAGAGACCAAAACATAAATAGCATTTTAATTCTCACAAGAAAATATAGGAGAATGTCTTTATGACATCATGAAGGAAACCATTAAGAAAAGTTGGATAAATTTGGGCTGAACAAAAGATGTCAAAAAGTTGTTTTTTAATACCAGAAGACCAGAAATACACTAGAAGATGTTTGCAAAGTTTGGAAGAAAAGATTAGTATTCAGAATATACTTTTAAAAGTCTGTCAATGAGAAAAAAAACCAAAAATCCAAAATAAAATCAAGCAAAGGCTATGGATAGGCAATTGATAAGTATATTTATAATACTTTTATTACTTTAAACATTAATATGCTAATCACTAATATTTTGGGAAATGCATATTAAAAGACGCTTTCCACATTGGGAATATAGCAGTAAAAGAAGCAAAGTCCTTCCTCTAAGGGCCATTATATTCTAGTGTGCATGTGTGAGAATTGGTGGCGTTGGGGGGTGGGGGGAGGTGTTAAAGAAATAAAATTTGAGATATAGTAATAAGTGCTATGAAGTCATTAAAACAGTATAATGTGATAGAGTGAGACAGTAATGTGAGGTTGGGAGAGTCAGCGATAATAAAACACATTTGACCAGAAACTTGAACAAGAAAGTGGTCAGCTATCCAAAGAAATAGAGTTAAGAGCTATCCAAAGAAATAGGTATAATTCCTATACCATGCTCAGCACTTTAATATATACTCTAAGTATATCAAGTAATATATCAGTATATCAATATATCAGTATATCAGATTTTCTCATCAGGGTACATTTTCATTAAAAATAACTGTATTTATGAATTCTAGCGAATATTATATACATGTGATTGCAGTAAGGTTTTGTTGTTCATCCAAGTTTTAAATCTGTTCCGGATATATGATAAGGGAAAGGAATATAAACATGATACCCCCAGAAATACACAGAATTCCAATATATTTTTCCAGACAAAGTTCACATTTGATAGTTCTGTTAACTTTTAAAAATCTTTTAAATAACTGTTCTGGTGGAAATTATTACGTAAAATATAGTAAGAAAACTATCATAAAATGTATTTTTTATAGCCAAAATACTCTTGGATAAAACAAACCTGTACCTGAATATAATGCCGCAGAACATACAGAATTTCCCCATTTTGAGCTTTTTCAGACAATACTGTGTGAAATTTACCAAATGCCCTGGTACCCATTTCTGCATAGAGAATAATCACTGGTAAGTTCTCTTTGCTTGTGGGAAATTTATGATCTCCTTTAAACAGATAAGGTCTGGGCCTAAAATGAAAACAAAACACAAACTTTTAAAAGAATTGAAAGTAAAGAGCAGGTGAGAAACATACCAAGACACTTTATAATTTCTGCTTATCAAACAACTTACAGGAACATATATATATATATATATATATATATATATATATATGAATAATCACAGAAAAAGAATTTAAATTTCTTGTGGTGATTTTGTACACACAACTTCTATTAAATGACAGACAAGAAATAAATTTGGTTAACCCAAAATTGAGTACTAAAAATTCTTTATTTCCCAACAAGGTTCACTATCTTTAAATAATAACATACAATGGCAATATACTTTTCAATGAAATAAACTACATAATTTCTCCAATTAGAAAAATATAATTTTTCATTACAGTTCACATGTCCTGAAAATGGGTTCCAAATATTTAAAAAACAAAACAAAAACATTATACCGTACAAAGATTATCAGTACTTAATAAGAGTAACAATTCACTAAATCCTCAGGGATAAGCAAAGAAACCAAGCAGTCCTGTGGCCTGGCCCTCTCATCATTAACAGACTTCAACACCTTATTTACCAGGCATTGTGCTAGATTCTTTGCACATATTAGTAAAATCTATCCTCACAACAATTCCTTTAGATAGTTACTATCATTTACTAAAACTTTTGAGGATCCTGAGGCTCAGACAAGTGAAATATCCCAGAGAAGATGAAACAGAAAGTGAGGAATTGAAAAAAGATAAGACTCTCTCATGTTAGGCACTAAAATGGAGGCAGGTGGCCATGAAGAGGAGAGGAACAAATTCCCCCTTCAGGATGAACTCTTGAATTCAAGCATTTAGTATGCCTGAAATGCATCTGCAAGTCTTCTCAAGGAAGATAAGATCACCAGGACAGAGACTCCTTTCCTGTCAGTCATCTCCCACATTCCTAAGTTTAATGGTTTGTTTCAACTGACCCTCACCCTGATGATTACCTTGAGCCTGGAATTTGTTAAAAGACATTGGTTAAGTTCACGCACTTTGCTTCAGTGGCCCAGGGTTCACTGGTTTGGATCCTTGGTGCAGACCTACACACTGCTCATTAAGCCACGCTATGGCAGCATCCCACATAAATGAACTAGAACGACTTACTACTAGGATATACAACTATGTACTAGGGCTTTGAAGAGAAAAATAAAAGGAGGAAGACTGGCAACAGATGTTAGCCCAGGGCCAATCTTCCCTGCCAAAAAAAAAAAAAAAAAAGGACATTCTTTCTCTTTTCTTTCTTTACCTTCGTTAGCCACGACTATAAAACCTCCCTTCTCTCCTCAATGGCTGGAACACAATTCAAGTGTTACTTAAATCTGTGCTTCCCAGGCTGCAGTCCTAACAAACTCCGAATAAACTTCTTTTTGTTTTAAGTTTACCTGAGTCTACCTCATAACTGATCAACAAAAGCCAGAATTTCAACTCATGTCTATGGAATTCCTAAGCCCACATCTTTAAACAATTTACCTAGGCAGAAAGAAAAACATGAAATAATGAAGTTAAAAATAACAAAGGTGTTGAGAAATAACCTTTTATTTAATGAAGTCAGATCTCTACAATCTTTCAGTCATTTACTACCTTCAAATAACAAAAACTGAGAATAGGAAAGAGGAAAGAAGGGCATAAATAACACTCCTACAGCAGGCTGGTGAAAAGACTGTGGGTTTTGAAATCAGGCAAAACTGGCGTCAAGTTCTAGCTTAACTATTTAGTAGCTTTGTGAAACCTAGGCAAGCGACCTGATCTCTCTTGGGCCTATCTCTTCATCTGTTCAAGAGGAGGAGTTCCAGCTACCTCCTACGAGTGTCCTGTGGATTTACCAACACGACCTGCAAATCATCTAGCACAGCATAAAGCACATACTTGGTGCTCAAGAAGTGATTATTTTTCTCTCACTCTCACCAGCCTCCACTTATCTAAAATATCCATCAAGAATAGTGTGCAGGGAAAAAAGGAAGGAACCAAATGTTGCATGGTATATCACCATTTATGACAAAAGTATGGGGTGTTTACCTGTGTAATTATGATCATATATACCTTGACTATTTCTAGAAGGATATGCAAGAACTTGATAGCACTGGTTGCCTCTGAGGAGAAGTTCTGGAAGTCTAGAGTAAAAGGGAATCTTATAATTTGCTCTATGTACATGCTGTATTTTCTAATTTTTAATGTTTAAACTCAATACATTGGGAACATGTCCTTTTGGTGTAAGTTAACATAAAAATGAATCAAAAAATTTAAAGGGACAAATTCTGCACTCATAGTAGATGAACATACTGAAATTTTTAAGTCACTTTCTATTGATTCTCTCAGGTTTCATATACCAGATGTGTATAGGATTCTTTTTTATTTATTGAGATATAACTATAAAATTTTACAGCATGTTTGTCATATCTTATTATATGTTTATTATATTGTTTTGTACGTAAAGAAAATTATTTTGTAGACAGAAGTAGATAATATTTTCTTTACATTTTTTAATTCTCCCACAATAGTTAGCATGTTAACCTGTATATAGTAAGGATGAAAGTTCTCAAAACCAAAATTTAAAATGGAAATTGAGTCTTTTTACCAAAAAGTATAATGTAATTTTAAATATCAAAAATAATATTCCATTACTTATTTGAGCTAAATAAAACGTGGTAAAATCTTTTGTGATAACTACTGTTTGTTATTCTATAGAAAAATATTGCTATAATATTCATGATAAACTTATTTAGAGACAACTTTCTTTGACATTTTTTCTATGGTAAATAAGATAACTAATTATTCAGTTTTCTGATATGGCTGGAAAATGCACATATATAGATTATATCTTATAGAGAAATTCAAATTTCTATTTTGTTTAATTATTATAGAATAAGGCTTGTCAATGGAGATAAATTAACTTTCATTTAAAAAAGGGCTAAAAATCTAGCGTTCCTGATTACTGACTTAATTTATTTTAAATCAAAATCACTCAAATGCTCAATAAATCTTATTGACCAACAAAACAATGAAAACTTTCCTCTAATTAATCATTTGGCTTAAAGTTTGTGACATTTCTTGACATCAGTATGGAGTACCGTGTTTATTTCAGGTTTGTAAAATTACATCAATTTAAGCATCTTTACGGTGGTTTACTGTTTGGCGCGTATAGTACGTATGCACACTCATACACTTTTTTATTTTAACAAACTTTTTTGAAGTATAAAAGCTTTACAAATTCATCCACTCTCATTTGATTTGTTAATATTTAACACGAGAAATGATTTTTAAAATATTACTGCCAATGTTTGGACATTTGGAACATAAAACAAAAAGAATTTTATCAGCCTAAAATAAGACCTAACTTCACTATTAATCTCTTCTCCAACAGATGAAGAGACATGAATGTGCAAAACAAGAGAGTGAATTAGTTGCCATTCTTCATAGGATCCTATTAATAAATGTAAAAAGAACACTAAAATCATATTTCACATTTGAAAAGAGTAGTAAAAAAGAATCCAACTACATGAAATTATTAAAATCATTCTCATTAATTTTAACTGATACCTTGGAACTCACATGGCACTAAGTCAAATGGATTATCCTTAAAAAAATTATTTTTATCAAATTCGTGCTGTAGAAGTACATTTAGTGATTTATACGGGGTATCTTACATTTTAGCATGTCTAAAAGACATTTTCAAATACTTTACCATTGTTGGCAATTGGAAAGGCTGCATCAGAAACAATGCTAGTAGATAAATCTTGAGGTTGAATATAAAACAAAAAACTAGAAGAGATGGAATACATTTTCCAGAGACAAAGGTAAGGGCTCATCCACCATTTGTTCATGAGTCTCTAACAGAGGGCACCTTGTTACACCCATATACAATTACCTTTCAAAGTCTGTTCTATGATTAATTCAGGAACTGCTTGCATGTAGCATAGGTAAAAAAAATTACCCTATGCTCATAGAGAATTACTGGGTAGGAGTGAAAAACAGCCTTTAAAAATTGAATAGATTACATTTAAAAATAGATATTTTCACTTATTGAATTGACTAAGATTATAAGGGGAAAAAATACAAATTAGCACTGGTGAAAACATTAGAAATGGAATGTAAAACATAAGCAGCTTTCTGAAGAACAATTCTGGAGTATGTATCAATTTTAAATGCATACACTTATTTACCTAGTGATTCTAGTTGTAGAAATTTATCTAAGACAATGTCAAGATAACCATATAAAGATATATTTACAAGGACATTCAAGTAGACAGTGTTTATAACAGAAGACAAACGTAAAATACTTATATCCATCATAAGGGGTAGGAAAATTAAACATACTTGTTCATTTGACTATGGTATCATTCATTTGATAAATATTTTTGAGCATCTACTATATGTCTGGTGGAAACACAATATACATGGGTCCTGCTTCATAATGACAAAGCATAGCTATACTTACATTTATTTATATGTAAGGCATGTAAGGATGTATAATTTAGTGGGGGAAGGTTCTAAGACATCCTTTATAGCACAATTCCATGTTGGTTATAGAAAAGAATATATTTGACATGTGAATATATGCATTAAAAAAGAAAAGACTATACCAAACTGTTCACAGAATTATGGGTCATTTTCCCTTTCTACTTTGCATTTCTCTGAAGTATTTGAATTCTTTTATAATGACTACATATAATTTTTTTTTTACTTTAAAAATACAGCTTTCTATTTTGGACAAAAAGTTTAAAGTCACAATAAAAGAGAGTCATGCTGATTTGAAGTGGCATTTGGAGGGCAGTCTCTAACACTACATTTCCAGAATCTCCAATATTTTTAGAGACACAGAAAAAGACAACTACTCTTAATGAAGCTGAAAACCAATAATAACCTTATACCATAATTTGGGAGCAAAACCCATTAACCATAAAATCTACACAGTCTAACTTAGAATCATAACTAATGGTCAGCCTTATTGCTTAAAACATAATACCTTACCACCTGAAAGACAACAACGTA